AGATTGACCGATCTCTTGAAACACTTGAGCCTAATTTCCAGTAAAGTGTATCCATCCAGCAACAATTGAAATCAGACACACATATTTAGGAAGCTAGACTTGAACTCAAACACACTTTGAATAGTATTATACATACGTAGATTGATTCAATGATAATTGTTTGGAAATCAATATAACACAACGTAGTCTTGTATTACAATAAAATTGGAAGCGAAAACAGAGCTTACCTAAGATCGCGGTTATTGGATTGATGATGGAGGCAGACAGAGGTCTTCTTCACAATGGATTCAGACAATGATCGACTTGTCGATGGTGGAGGGCACCAAACCTTATCGATGGACAACGATTGCGAGAGTAACATCACCAATGGTGGTTCTTCGTGACCGACTGAGAGTAACACTAAAAATGATGAAGCCAGTTGCAGTTCGCTTTAGGATGTCGACTTGATTTGGGCCTGACCGAGAGGGAAATTTGCGATGAATTTGGAAGATTGGTTCAAAATCGACGATCAAATGTCCGCATGTAACCCTAGTAAAAGAATCAAACGCTAGCGTAGATTCTGGATTTAGGGGAAACGTAAAGTTAACTTTCGAAAAGTTATATTGTAACATCCCAAGTCCAGGTATACTTCGAGAACCTTGATCTTTTGAGCTATTGTCTATTTTAGCCCTTATTATAAAAAGAGTAAAAAACAAGTACATTGGGCATACCTGAGGTGTACGCTTAGCGTATTCGTCAGTGTGCATGTCACGCAGAGATCACCTAGTACGCTGGGCATATTAGGCCCATAGTGCAACCCTAATTTGGGGTGAGTATCCTATTTAATAGATATGGTGACCTTATTTCTAGCCACCATTCCCAGATAGAAAACCCTAAGAGTGTCCTAACCCTCGTTGTAAAGCTTATGTGTGTGTGTGTGTGATTGAGCCTTGAGAGTGTTTGGGTGATTTTGAAGAGAAGAGAAGGTCTTGAAGAAGAAGGATTTGGAGCCCAAGCTTCTAGATCCAAGCAAATCTGAGTGGGAAGCTTCTTATTGAGGTATAAAGCTTCATACTTTGCCTTTCCTTTGTCATGAGCATGTTGTTTGAGTATATTAGGGTTTTGTCCCAAAAGATGGAGACTTTATGAGATAATGAACTCCATAGACCTTGATCTTCCCCTTTTCAGTGTATTGTGTGTAGTATAGTCATAAAAATCCAATCTTGGGCGTTAGGAGTGAGCCATACATGAGTTTTGAGCTTCGTAAGGAAAGGGAATGGGTGTTTTGAGTGTTGGTGACCTAATCAGCCATGCAAAGGCTTAAAGTCACTGACTTAATGGACTAAGAGACGTTACGGAGTCCAAATCTGAGTTATGAGATTGTGTCTTGATTTATTAAGACCAAAAATGAGAGGAGTATGAAACTGGGGCGTACACTAGGCGTAGAGATCGAGTACGCATAGGGTATTCCCTGCCGTTGACTTTTGTTGACTTTTAGGGTTTGGGTCAAATTATGGACTATCAAGCCTATGGAAGGGTAAAATGGTATTTTCACCTTTCTGTGAGTGTAAAAGGGTTATTCTAGATTTTGGTAGCCGATATTCATTAGAGATAATTATTATGTGTTAGGCGAAGGCTAGTTCGGTGGGTAGAGTTCGAGATTTTCGAGTTCGAGGTTTCATTTGCAAGCTTACGAGGTAAGTCTTCTCATTATACTTACCTTGTGTGGTAACTTTGTGTGTGACCAAAGGGTCTTATCTAAATGAGTTGTGTTTGGAGATATCCTACTATTTGTTTTCTGATATGCTTACTGTGTATTATATTGACCTGTTGAGTTAAGGGATCGGAGGGTCCATGTGAGTTGTGGGACCGGAGGGTCCCATTGAGACAGATTGACTGGAGGGTCTTATTAAGTTATATCCTTGAGTGGCTAATGTGTTGTGTGTGGTATTTTGGGGAACTCATTAAGCTTTATGCTTACCGTGTTATGTGTTATGTGATTCAGGTAGTTCCGAGGATCGCGACAAAGAACTGGCATGATTGTACACACTGGCAGGAGATTGTGTTTATGATTCTGGGATTGTGTTTTATTTGTTGACATTTGAGGACTTATGTGATTTTGAGAATTATGAAACGAGTTTTATTGTGGTTGAAAATGAAAATTTTGTTTGAAAATTTACATTGTTACAAGTTGGTATCAGAGCCTTGGTTTGAGGGATTTGGATGCACCCTCGGGTATGTTTGAACTCAAACTAAGGATTTGAGAAAGATTTTTAAAATAGATAACTTTTTCTAAAAATGAGAAAGAGTTTAAGAGAAGACGAGCCGGAGTAGTGTGTACAATTAGCTAGAGCCCGAGCGGTGATTTCCCAAAATACCTTCATTTTGTGTTACGAGATATTTTATGAGATATATTGTATGCTAGAGAATAGGCTAGGTAAATCATATATTAGGACTAAGGCGGCCTGATTTGTGAGGCCTTAGCTGAGGGATTTCTGTTTTCAGTGAATTGCTTTGAGTATGAGTATTTAGAAGGAGCGAGCCATTGAGAGGACTACTGTGAGAGTAGCTTGGGAGGCATATAGTACTTGTTAATGGGATCCGAGGAGGAGGACTTGGGATGAACACTAATGCGGTGTGGAAGGTAGTATTGGGCCCGTACTACTGGAAACACCGGATCAATGAGCGGTCCAAGTAAGAATCCTAAAGATGCTAAGGAACATGTAAGGGCGAGTGATCGAGTGTGGGTATGCTCGAGCGAGTCTCTGATAATTCTGTGTTGTGTTTCAGAGATTTCATAATGGGTACACCTCACAAACCTGGAGCCAGTGGGAGTAGTGATGAGGAGGTACATAGGAGGATCCACGAGGAGGTGGTTGCAACTATCTGAGCAGAGATTCCAGAGATGTTTGGGTCTATCAAGACCACCTTGATACAAACATTCGATGAGCGATACACTGCTATCGCTGAGGCTGCTACTGTAACGGCCATTGCAGCCATCGCCACTACTAGGCCTCAGGGAGGTGACTCGTTGTTGTTCCAAGAGTTCAGCAACACGAAGCCACCAGAGTTTGATGGGATGCAGATTCGATTGCTGCGATGAGGTGGATCTCCGATATCGAGGGGTGTTTTTACACGTGCTCATGCCCTGACCATTTAAGACTTGGATTTGGCCCTCAGTCTTGCAAAGAAATACCATGGGGTAGCCCATGGCACCTATGTGTTTTTGGTATGTGGTATTTTGAGGAATTCACTAAGATTTGTGCTCACAACTCATGTTTATGGTTTCAAGTACTTATGGTTCAAATGGGAAGGACCCAACGTGATGGCACAACATCCTCCCATCATGATTTTCGCATTTGAAATAATTATATTAGGATGTTTTGAATATTATTACTTGATTTTGGTTTTCAACAAATAATGAATGGTTTGATAGACTTTTAAATGAAAATATTTATTACCGTTTTCGGGACGTTACATCCGTGTCCATAGAACCCTAGAGTGAAACCATAGCCCCTATTTGTGTTTTGGATCTTTTTATGAATTTCGTGTGTTTCCTAAAGAGGAAGGAATTAGTTTGGGTGCATTGCAACTTATTCCAGTGAAGATCCTGTTGGATTAGGGGTCCATTTAGGTTGCATTAATAACTATAGTTGGTATGTACTTGACCCGAGAGTAGCATGGTCCATTTGGGTTGCATTCATCAAAGCAATTTGATAGGATGGATATTTGAAAAAGAGGTTTTTGTGATTTATTAATGTATTATAAATTATAATATATTAATTGTGAAATCATAATATTTAATTAGTATTGATTAAGAATTAATTAGGAATTAATTTAGTGATCAAAAGAGACTAGTTAAATTAACGGGGATTGATTGGGTAAATCATTGCTACTTATAGTTTGGGCTAATGATCCATATTGATTATCTGGACTAAATCTTTGTGAATTTCATGAAGATTTAGTTCAAACGGCTTATCATATGGATTATTGGATTAAAGGCCCAAGGAAGTAGATTAGGGTTTACAAGTTGAAACTCTTGGAATTCTACACTATAAGTATAACTCCTAAAACCCTAAAATTGGCACTTGTGCATTCCAAGAAGAAGCTAGACAATTTTGGTGGTTCTTAGCCTCTCTCTCTCTCTCTCTCTCTCATTATCTTCCATTTTCTTATGGTGTCTTGTGAACCATTTGAGACATCACACTTGAGGTGCTAAGCTCTTGAGAGGCCAACAACTACAAGCTACAAATAAGAGGTATTCTTCTAATTAGTTTTTATGATTCTTGTGCCAAATTTGTATGCTAGTTAGGCTTCATGTTTTGGAATATCTTTTCTTGCATGTATAACTAGAGAAAACTTATATCCAATGCATTAGAGTTGTGTGTGCACCGTAGGAGTGTTATAGTACATAAAACTCAACAATGGTATCTGAGACATGGGTTGTTTTCTATTATATTGACACATGGCTAATTGTTCAGAGTTGAAACAAATTGAAAATTGCTCTCCGGATGATGAACTCAACGAGTCCATAAAGGGACTCGATGAGTTGGGCCAACTCGACGAGTCCATTGCAGATTTTCACTACTAGAAAAATAGCCTTTACGATGCGCAATGCGTGTCATAAAACACTCAGACGGCGCGCAAATGCGAGTCAAGAAAGGCCCTGTCATAATGAGAGACGACACGCTTTTGCGCGTCGTCTATAAATGACGCGCATTTATGACACGCAATGTGTATCATTAAAGCCGCTGTCAAGAAAGGCCATGTCATAAATGAAGATGACACACGTTTTTGCGTATCGTAATTTTAAATTTTTTAAAAAAAAGTTATTTATAGATTTACTAATTTTCAAATTAAATTTGCATTTCATGTCTCATAATAGAAAATAAAATACCATATACAAAAAATACAATCCATTGCACAAAAGTTAATGTCGTACAAATAATCATTCCAATAGTAGATAAATGTAATACATCAAATGTGAAAGAGATGAAAGTCATCAACAAATAATACTTGAACTAAAAGAACTCGTTGGCCACCTTCACAACATCCGAGCTACTTTGCTTGACACTATGAACATCAACAAGACCTACAATTTTGAATAATGTAACCATTAGATTCATATAAACCAACAAATCCCATATGTAAAAACAAGCCAAAAATAACAAAATTAACTTTAAGAATGGGGTAATGACATCTTGGCCCCTACTGTTGCCACCAACACCACGTGGATATAGAAGATTTCAAATGAGTTATAAAAAAAGTTCAATGAAGGGTCTATACAAAAAGCACCTGGATATTGAAGACTTCTTTGTTATTTCCTTGAAGGTTTCCTTCAACATTGAAGGGAAAGATCATACTAGCTAGTCATACAAATGCATAATCCTCCATGAAGCATCTATACACCAAGCCAACCAGATAAGAACTAAAGACATGGTGATGCATTATGAAATCAAATAAAAAATCAGGCACAAGTTCATCTGCCCACTCTTGGGCGAATTAGGAGGGGAAGAGACTAACTTAAAAGTTTTTATTTACTATATTCTACCTTTGATCTGTTTGGTTTTTATTACTTGAAAAAAACTAAAAATTAAAATTTTAGACAATTGGTTACATTAAAACAGCTTTACCATGAATTCAACTACAAAGTTGCAAAACCCCACAAAATCAGATAATCCGAAAACAAAACATGAAAACCAACAACGGATCCGATTTCAGAAAAGAGACTGCATAAAATATTAAGAAAAAAAATACTTCCAGAATCAGAAAAACTTTAATTCTAAAACAACTAATCTTAACATCATCAAACCAAAACGTAATACAAACATAGACATCAAAACAACTCCTCAACTCTGTAATCCATCTCTATAGTACCTGAAAGGTAGTGAGCAAACAAAACCATGAATGAAAGGGCATTTTAGTCATTTAATCAACACTCGACTCAAGACATTTTTACAAGCTACGGGGGTGTTTGAAAGTAATTATATGCATATGTTTGTTATATCAAAATTAGAATCTCAAGCTATAATTTCTTGAAGTTAGGTTTGATGGGGTTACAATTTGAAGGGTATATAAGTAATTTTACCTAAGGTATATATGTTACTGACGCAACATCTGCTGAAGTTAAAGCACTTGGTTCTTTGATCAGGTGGTAGCTGATTAAATTGATATGGGGTCAGACTCATTACTTGTTGATGTAATGCCATCTCCATATCTGGACTTAACTGCACACACGCAAATAAATAAATAACAAGTTAAGAAAAAAGAAAAAAAAGAATTTACTGATGTAGGTCGTGGAGGCTGAGTGGCTGAGGTCATATGAGCAGGAAGAAAGGATGACGTGGCAGTTGGTCCCACTACTTTTTCAGGAATCCAATTCAATCCCCTTTCTGGTTGTTGTTGTGAAGGGATTCTCATTTGATTAAAATCCTTTCCTACATGTGAACCTCCTATCCTTACATCTTCATCACTGTTTTCCTTATTCTATACAACCTATTGAGTTCAAAAGGTAAAGGTGTTTAATGCTAAAAAAATAAAGTCAAACAAGTTATCATCTTTAAACAGGGTTAAATACTTGCATTCATTTCTCATATTCTTCTTTTTATTAACACATGTTTTGGGTTACATATAGTTTTTTTTATTATCAGTAAAGAAACAAAAACAATTTATTATAAAAAAAAAAATAAAGCAAATTATGTATATACTGGTAGCCAGAGTAAGGCATGTTGCTATTTTTGGCAAACTTGCAATTAAATATATGACTTATGAGACCACATCAAACAAAATTAAACATACCTGGATTGCATCCAAATGTGTTTGTATTTATCATGGATTTCACAAGAAAGTTCATCTTTGCAAAATCCTAGGTTACTCAACACCATCAGCAACTTTTGATGTGGATGTGTAATACTTCCAGGAAAAGGATCAGATAAACTTTCTTCTAGATCATCAACAAGATACCTATTTTGAAAAGATGATTTTTCTTTATTTAATACATTTTGACCAATTTCGCTTCCAATTTGCTCAAAGTAACCTAATAATTTGCATCATATGGTATGGATCCATTATAAGTTAACAAAAAAAATGAAATAAAAAGACAGAAATACCCGTCTTCATTGCGTTGTCTAATCCATTGTTGTGACCATAACTGAACGGAATGCTAAAGGCAAGTGTGAAATTGTGTATAAAGATTTTTTTCTCTCGAGAACAGAAACTGGAATCCATGATTCATTTTTTTGATATTTCTTTAGTTGAAGCCCTCATCTGTTAATGGAATAGATTTTCAAGATTTTGATCAGTTAAGGGACGTGAATGTGGTTGGAGAAAAGAAAAACCTGGATGAACCTATCTTCAAAAGCAGAAGCTTGAATGCCACAAACCCTTGATCTGTATGGAAGAACGGATTAGCAAAATACATGAACCCTAGTTGATTGATTTCAGAAAATCAAGAAGGGAGTTGCCTACCTATGGTGTGCGACGGGATGACAGCGCACCAGTGAGGGTTAGGTAGAGACGAGAGGCTGAGCACTGGTGGAAACAAGGGAGATGAGAACGCACACTACTACGATCATATTTAGAGAGAAATCAGAAATCGAAGGATGACCAACCCTAGTATATTGATGATGGTGGAGAAGCCGAAAAACGAAGGTGAATCGTCCACCCATGCCCTGGTTTGTTTTCCTTTTGTGAGGTCTTGAACAAAAAGCCCAAGAATTAGGGAGGATGTATTTGAAGCGGGAGATATGATAGAACACATATGAAGAGAAGAAGAGGCGCATATGAGCCTATGGTCACCAACTTTGAGAAGCATTTGTGTGGAGCTCGTGTTGAATGATTTGTGAAATCACGAGAAACCTTCATCGCCGGGAAGAGAGATTGTAGATGGAAGGGAAAGAGGAGATAGAAGTGAACGAGAGATGGAGACGAAACCAACCCTATATCGCCATGGCAAGGTTTTCAACTTTTCTAATATTTTTTGGAATTCTTTTTCCCACTGCTACTAAAGATGAAGAGCGCGCTTCATCAAAAAAAATATAAAACGACATGATTTCACGACATGCTTTTTATGATAGGTGCCCTCCATGTTTTTATTTTTTTATGTTGTGACACTAATTTTAGGGCACGGAAAAATGAGCATCCTAAATCCTTCACATTTTGGGAAAGCTGACATTATTTTTAGGGCACACACTTTTCCGTATTGTAAAACAACGAGTGTCATGCTTTGCGCGTCATTAAAGGGTATTTTTCTAGTAGTGTTTCGGGTTTTTTTTTTGGCCTGAATTGGATTATGATTTTTACCAGAAACAGTTTATATCATTAAATCCGTTTTTTCTTATATGGTGATGATTGTCTCCATCCAATTAAAAGATAATTGTCAAAAGTTTAAGATGATTATAAGTTTATATGATAAAGCTAATTATAGTAATTTTTAATTTGAAATTATCTTGCTACAAGAGTTGCATTAGATCAAAATGGTAAAAGATAAATAATATGATTATTTTATTGGTTTAAATTTGATCTAAATGTTTTTGAGAGGTTACAAAACCTGTCAACAAGTTTTGGAACTCAAAAGTTTTTTTAAGGAGTTACAAAACTTGTCATCAAGTTTTGGAATCCAAAAGTTTTCAAAAGTTACAAAACTTGCCCTCAAGTTTTGGAACTTAAAAAGTCTTTTATGTAACATTAACTCTAGTGATTGAAAGGTTTCAAAAGGTGCAACTCCTGGGTTCATAACTTTAAAACTAATTAAATGTTTTTAAAATTTTGAATTTTATATTTAGAACATTGATGTTTTTGAATGGTTCAATTACACTCTTATGGATTTTATTAAGTTAATTAAATGTTTAAGTAAGAGAGTATTATTAAATCCGTAATCACATGGTTTAAGATTAATTAAATTAGGAGTATAATTTATTAATAGATTAAACCATCTAGTATTTTAAATGTGTAAAATAAACCCTTATACTATATAAAATTAAAAGTTTAATATATTATATATGTATAAGTAAAACGCCAGTCTTACCATTAGTAGGCCTCATTCATGAAGCTGGTCTATAAGGGATGTTTATGAAAATTGCATATAAAATGGCGATTGAATGGGTATCCACTCTTACCCACTGCACTCTTCACTAGCGGAGGGTTGTTAGCCGAACGGGTAGGATAGGACACAAACTTCCATTAAAAGTATCATGAAAATACCAAGTAACTAAATGTTTTATAAATTCCAAATCTTAGTTACTTAGGAAAAATGTGAATTTGATGCTAACCCATAAAATTGCACTTTTCACCTTGCCAAGTCGTTAGTGAAGCGTGTGTGGTTAACCGCCACAATAACTTGGACCGGTAAAGTGGCTAAGGGTAGCTCGTAGTTTGTTATATATCAATAGAGTGCGTCTGGTTAACCGACACATTGGCTAGGTGATAAATGACTACGTGAGTACCAAGCTAATTTGTGTAACATACCAAAAACACAGTCTAAAATTTTCGTTTTAGTTTAATAATAAAACAATAGTCATCGAACATTGTATAAAAATCATAAACAGTGTATCTCAAAATATCGTAACAATTGTCAAAATATCAGAGTATAAACATCCCAGGCTGAATAGATGGTGTATGCACTACAATCTTCTCGAGTTCCTCTTTTGAAAACTGAGTACCTGAAAACAAAACTGAAACTGTAAGCACGAAGCTTAGTGAGCTCCTCCAAACTACCATATACCATACAATAACATATAAAGCAATTACTAGGCCTTTCCCACTACATCGGACCGAAGTTCGGAATAACTAGGGCCTCGCCCACTGCATCGGACCGAAGTCCGGAATAACTAGGGGCCTCGCCCACTACATCGGACCAAAGTTCGGAATAACTAGGGCCTTGCCCGCTTCATCGGACCGAAGTCCGGACTAATTTGGGCCTCACCCACTGCATCAGATTGAAGTTTGGAATAGCCAGGGCATTGCCCGCTCCATCGATCCGATGTCCAAAATAAACTGAACATAGCATAAACATGATCATAATACATGCATGAATCATAAAGACATCAACCATACAAAACTACTTCTCGAGACTACCCCGACATTAGACCACAGTCCGGAACTACTATCATTTAAATGGGATAGTATTGTAGCCGTAGACCCGCTCCTACTGGAAGGAAACTCACCTCACACTGCTGAAGTCCTGCTGACAAAATCCTAGTTGCTGGATGATAGATTCCCGAATCTGTCATTATCAAAATATCACCCAATTAATAATTGGGTTCCAACTCATAACCATAAGTCCATACTTGGGGTAAAAGACTACTTTACCCCTATCTTAGCTTGACTTAAGCCCAAGGCCCAATCCAAATGCCCAAAAGTCTAATAATGGACCAAGGTCCAACTATTTAGTCCAATCCAACATTTGGAATTCTACTGGCCCAATATCATGTAACCATCAAGGCCCAAACTATGGCCCATCCATGGCCTAATTTTCTAGATTGAGCCCAATCCTTCATATGGGCCTTACCCTAAAGCCCAACTAATTACTCTAGTCCATTTAATTATTCTTGAATGACCCATTAATAACCCAATTACTAAAGCCTAATGGAAAGGCCCAACTCAAGGCCCGAGTGAAATTAGAGTTTCACAAAAAATGACGATTAGGGTTAAGTGTTTCTTACTTAACCCATTAAGGACTTAGTCCATTAAGTCCTTTAATCTACTAGATAAATGATATGGTGAAATTGGGCTTAATACACAATCCAATCTCAATGGCCCAAATATGGATCCAATAAGTCTAAGACCCAAATACTCACAATTAGGGTTTTCTAAACCCTAATTAGAGTTTTCTTTAAAATTTGGCCTAATAGGCCCAAAACTAGTCCTTAAGCCCATTAGGGTTTTGTTAGGTCCATTAAGGTTTTGCTTGTGGGGCACCACCAACTACCACCTCGAGTAGTTATGGTCAATGGCGGCTCACGGCGGCGGCGGCCACCTTACGGTGGTGGTTATTATTATTATGTTCATTAATCAATGCTAATTACAATTACAAGGCGTTTATCCAAAATAACACACACACACACACACACTCACTAACACACACACTAACTATACACGCACACATCCTGGTCATGTTGGCCGGAGGTGGCGCTTGGCGGCAGCCACCACCTCACGGTGGTGGCACTGACGGTTCTTGGCCTTCTGGCTTGACAAACACGCACATAAAAATGTTAGACTGCATACAACACTTCAGCCACCCACCTAGTGACTCAAGGTGGCTGAGATGCTAATGGCGGCGGCATGCAACAACACCCAAAGAAGGGCGGCAACAACAACTGCTTAACACCGATGGCGGCCTAAAATCCATCCCCTATTCTCAACTATTGAAGTCCACAACGTCACAGACTGCTAAGTCACTATGACGGAGAGAGAGTGGAGGTACAAG